CTGTACATGTTTGATTTTCTGGAGGCACTGTAGTGTGGAGTTGATAGAATATCCACTCTTCTCTGTGAGATGTCCAAGCTTTTTTGTCAGTTCTTTCACTAAGTTGTACGTTGGAGTCCCTGGTAAAGATACAGTTGATTAGAGAGGTATGTCGGGCTTGTGTATTTTTGGTCATCCATAGAAATGTGGGAGGATGGATCCACTGCTTTTCATCCACTACTGTTCTTCTTTTGTGATCTGGCCTTTCTTGGTTAGGTTGTTAAGTGTTCTTTTGATTAGGTTGTCTAGTTTCTGTATTGGATTGGTGTTAACTGGAATGTAGGTTTATTTGTCCTCTACTAATTTTTTGGCTTTTTGCAAGTATTATAATTTAACCATAACTGTGGTTCAGCCTTTGTCTGCTGGGAGGATGTTGATGGTTTCGTCCTTCCTTAGGCTTTTGAGGGCTGCTCTGTCCTCTGCTTTGAGTTGATGCTGATACTGTGTTCTTCTGTTCTGTGGTATGATTGTCTGCCTTACGTTTTCTTGAGTCTCTGTGTTAAGTCTTGTAGTTTTAAATGCTGCTTCTAAGGCTGCACAGAAATCTAGCTAATTATACATTATGATCCATGTTATAGTTGAGGCCTTTCTGGAGGATATTGTGTTCTGCAGTAGATTGTGGTCAGCTGGACATGTTGATTACCCATTCAGGTTCAGGTACCTCTTTGTTTCTGGAGTGTAGTTTGAGCTGTTTAGTTTTAAGTTTTGTTTTTGTTTTCTCAACATGTTGTAGGGGTGTGGTCTTGATGGTGGTTGTCAGTATATTTGTGTGCTCTGGGGTCATGGTTTCTTCCAGTTGCTCCTTGAGGTTGTTGTTGGTCCTTGATTGATTGATTCGTTGATTGATTGTTGAGTTAGAACTCAAATAAATTACCTAGTCATATAAATAATATTTTCTAAACAAAGTATGAGTATTTTTGATACAATGTCTCCATATAACGTTTTTCTTTTTAAACCCTCTCATACTCTTTTACAGCAATGGTGAATTTCATGCAGATGCTTGTCCAGTTTATGGCAACCTTAATCACTACCATCAGGAGATCCTAAGTAAGCTATAGATAAAGTTGTTCCATTCAATGAATTCAGGGTTACATGGCTAAATCAAACTAATCCTTGTGGGCATTTTCCTTCCTTCCTTCCTTCCTTCCTTCCTTCCTTCCTTCCTTCCTTCCTTCCTTCC